AAAAATTGGAAAAACTTTTGGCGCGTCACTGTACGTTGTCAATGTAAACAATGAGGACGTCTATATTTAGAGTTCGATGTACAACCTAGAGACGTTAGGTTTTTGCCTTAAAATTATCATAAGATACTTTTTTTTTTTTTTTTATAAATTTAACAACCCAATAACATCTCAGTTATATCTTCTAACAACACACCGTCTGAAATTTAGACATTTCATGTGTACTTTTGCCTGTGTTTTGGTTGCCTGGAATGAAAACGAAAGTAAGGGTGGACGCGGATACGAATTTTTAACAACTGAGTTATTAAAATAATACATTTTATCATTTAGATTTCTACAAAATAAACATGTATTCGATTGTTATTTATTTTCTACGAATGTAATCAAAATACCAAGCTAATATTCCATACCCCTCACGTCAAGATCCGTATAGCAGACGACCGATAATATCAGAATTTGTAAAAATTCGATGTGGCCACAGCCCACGGCCAGAACGAAACCTGTATAAATCAATCCCTTTTATGTTATAGAATTTCTGGTTAAAATATCTTCGTGGCCGATGCTTGTGGCCACATCGAATTTTCCCAAAAACCGGGTGAAAAGTGAAGAAAATTGCTTGTTTTCCGGATACGGCATAGGTTTGGATATTACATAGCAGCAGAAGAAGCTTGGATCCGCCCAAACGTTTACAAATACAAGGACTAAGGATCATAAGCTTTATAAATATACATTGTTAGTGAGGATACACAAACTTTATTTTCTAAGCATTTTGCAGGGCCTGTTGACATTAGCTAACGTACCTAGCTCTTTTGAGAACAAACACTGACCTCTAAAAACAGAGGTTGGATCAGGTGCCATAGAGGAGCGAGCACTCTGCCGACCTTTCACGCCCGTCATGTGCTCTTTATTATGATCGGATAAACTGAAAAATCTGTAGACAATTCAGAGTGATGATAATGGCCAAACCATTTGTATGACATTTTACTAAACGATAGTCTGAACTTGCAAACAAGGTCTTAGTATGGAACATAGAATTTGCGTAATGTTAAAACGAGATTGTTGATATTCTTGTATCATAATTTTTTCAGTAGCCTGCCTTGTTTAAGAAATCGATGTCTGTTCCCTGAGTTACATCATGTCAACCTTTTCATCTGAAGATGTGTGAATGATATTTGAAAATTACAAACAGTAATGAAGGTCAAAAGTCCATTGCTGCGAAACAAATTGGGAGTAGAGCAAACAAGAACATTTAAATGCATCAGAAGTGTGGTAGAAGTAATGGAGAAGTAAGCATACCCTGACGACCTGTCACACCCACAATCTGCTCCTGGACATGACTGGGCAAACGGGAAAGTACTCAGACAATACAGTCATAATATTTAAAGGTTAAAAAACCTGTGCCATCACAGATTGATGGAAAAAATGTTCATGGATGGTTGATATATTTCAATTTTTTTTCTCTTGTATTTTAGCCAAAACTGAGATCTATTTCCAATAGTTATTCATTTCGTTATTTTCATCAACAGTCTCGTTAATAGTCAACATTTCTCAAATTCTATAGTCGATACAAGGACCCTATAAAGAAATAAATGTATCAATAAATGTTGATTGACGTTTCTTTGGCACAAATGTTTAGGCCATTATTTTCACACTGAATTGTTTTCGGATTTTTCCGTTTGCCGATCATGACAAAGAGTACACGGGAGGGGGGGGGGTTGACCGGATGCTTACTCCTCCATGGAACCTAATCTTAACAATGATGTTTTTAGGGGTAGGCATTTACTCTGCTGCAAATTTGTATTGTTTCAATGGACTTCTGAGACTGATTACTGTACGTTATCTTCATAGTCCATTTCATGGAAAGATTCTCAAACTGAAGCGGGTAAAAATCATTATGAAAAATATCGAAAAATTGTCAGTAAAACATGGTGAATATCTATTTTATTTCATGTAAATCATGGTTGTGAAATAGCTTTATATAAACATTAAGTTATTCAATTAGGTTTTCAGTGAATTTATTATTGGAATCCGAAGTAAATCCGAAGTAAACCCCCCCTCCCAAACACCCCAAACTATTCGATAGTAATGTCAAAAGGTTTCGAAAACCAAACACCATGGTCTTTCTTCCTAAAATAGAGAAATTATCTTATATAAATTAATAAATGATTAATACATACATAAATGGTAAATAAAGAAATGAATGAATAAATAACAAATAATAATAATAAAAACATGTTGATAAGAAAAAAATTAAAGGTATATGATAAATAAATTTTTATACATACAAACAGTAGACGGGTTAAAATAAAGTATATAGTTAATTTTTCTTTTCTTTTCGTTATTTGGAAATGATAAAAGAATATATCAAAATAAATCTATACATAGCAGGCCCATTGATTGATTGATTAAATATTGTTTAACGCCGAGTCGGCAATCTTTCAGCCATATTTCGGCGGGGCCCATTGATTATTATGACATCTCTGAAATATACAACTCTTCATTTTTCGAAAGTCATTTAATATAGATATTACATAGTGTTTTTAAATCGAAGCTTACAGTTGCAAAGCATTTAAAATAATTTCTCTTTTATGTTTCATGAAAGAAACAATTGATGCATATTACATAGAATTTGGACGTCTTTTCTTAATTTCTAGAATAAATACGTATATATATTCGAAATCAAACGGAATGAATGATCAAGAAATAAAAAAAAGTTATTCGTGCTTAAATAGTCGAATCTTGATTTTAAGAGAGAGAGAGAGAGAGAGAGAGAGAGAGAGAGAGAGAGAGGACATTAATATATTGGTGTAAAATAATACTTTCCTATACAACCTTAGAAATAAACTATATTCCGGTCGCATCTTAATCAGTCTTTGATTTGTCACTGATTTGAAATCCACATTTTCGATTTATTTTCCCTGAAACTAAATGAAAAATAAAAATAAAAAAGCTTTGTTAAATAAAAGATAAAGTGCATAAAAGTCTCTGATTTGAAATCAACATTTTCGATTTATTTTCCTTGAAATTAAATGAAAAATAAAAATAAAAAAGCTTTGTTAAATAAACGATAAACTGCATAAAATCTCTTTGCATATTGTTTTAGATGATCAAATATGTAAAAAAAAAAAAAAAAAAAATGAAGTGTGCAAAACAATGCATCTAAGCAAATTGTATATATCAAAATAAATGTTTCCGAAAAATGGTCTTAGAATTGTATATTATGTAAAGTTAGTTGCCAACCAATGAAAATAAACATATTTATAGAGACATGTAATGATTTTCCAGGGTTTATAATTAGGCTAGAAGAATTATTTTTAATTCTTACGTAATTTTATATATCAGTATATATTGCTGCAAAAATTACCAGCGGTAGATTTTATTGGATATCTTACTGTGGAAAAAGAGGTGAATTATTACTGTACTGGAACATCATCTAATTCATATAGATATTTTAATCTGTTATTGTCATATTTCAGTTAAAAAAAAAAGAAACCCAAACAATTAATACTTGATTCTCTCAGGTTGATATTTTACTTTTTTTTGTCAACACTCTTCATTTTATTAAAACGTAGAATCATACAAACATGACATAAAACAACAACAAAATAATTTTAAACAAGAGGCCCATAGGCCACGTCGCTCACCTGAGGACTGTGGCTAGGAAAGAAAGCAGAAATAAGTTCAGTTTTAAAAAGAATAAATGCATAAGTGGCCCCGACCTACCCCTAAAAAGGGGAGGGGGTATGATTTGAACAAACATGAATTAACACTAAGGATGCTCACACATTTCTTTGCCGAACTGTGGATTTTTTCCTATTAGTTTGAACTTTCATTGTAGTCCCATCATATCCCCGGGGGTCATGATTTGAACAAATCTGAATTTACACTACCTGAGGATGCTTCCATATAACTAATCATGGCTTTGTTGTTTTTGAGAAGAGATTTAAAAAAACATTCCTATGTATTCCTGTGTATAACTTTGCTCGACTATTGTGGTCCCACCCCCGGGTGTCATGATTTGAACAAACTAGAATCTACACTACCTGAGGATGCTTCTAAATAGATAATGACCAATCATGGCTTTGCTGTTCATGAGAAGATTTTTCCTATATATTCCTATGTAAAACTTTGCTCGTCCATTGTGGCCCCGGCCCACCCTATCCCCAGTGGTGTTAATTTGAACGACTTTAATTTACACTACCTAAGGATGCTTATAAACATGACGAACCATAGCTTTGCTGTACTTGAAAACAAGATTCTTAAAGATTTTTCCTATATAGTCCTATGTAAAACTTTGATCATCCATTGTGGCCCCACCCTACCCCTGGGAGTCATGATTTGAACAAATTGGAATCTACACTACCTGAGGATGCTACCACATAAATATGACCAATCATAGCTTTGTTGTTGTTGAGAACATGATTTTTAAAGATTTTTCTTATATATTCCTATGTATGACTTTGCTTTTCCATTGTGGCCCCACCCTACCCCCGGGGATCATGATTTGAATAAATCTGAATCAACACTACTTGAGAATGCTACCATATAAATATGACCAATCATGTGTTTGATGTTCTTGAGAAGAAGATTTAAAAAAAAATCCTATTTATTCCTATGTATAACTTTGAATCTACACTACCTGAGGATGATTCCACATAAGTTTCCTCTTTCCTGGCCCAATAGTCTTGAGAAGATTTTTAATAGATGCCATTAATTTTTCACTAATTTGTAATTATCTCCCCTTGAAAGAGGGTATGGCCCTTCATTTGATCAAACTTGAATCCCCTTTACCCAAGGATACTTTGTGCCAAGTTTGGTTGAAATTGGCCCAGTGGTTCTGGAGAAGATGAAATTGTGAACAGTTTACAACGCCGCCGCCGACAACAACGACAACGACAGACAACGGATAAATTTAAACAGAAAAGCTCACTTGAGCCTTCGGCTCAGGTAAGCTTAAACCCATATAATTGATTATTTGTATGATTGCAGGAATTCTGTGAACCATGGGTAACTGCAAAGATTTCTTGCAAATAGTCAGCATGAACGCAGCTGGGCGGAACGGAAGGAAGCACGTCTTTCAGGATCTGCTTGAGAAAGAAGAGCCTGAAATAGTGTTCCTTCCGGGAGGCAGCCCAGGACTTGACACCTTAACGCAAACAAGATATAAACATCTACTAGACCCTGCCTACAAAGAACCTGTTCTCCTGTATGATTCGACACGTCTGAAGGTCAACCAACTACCGGCGAGTCCACAGTCCTCCCGTCCTGCTTGTGCTTTTGACAAAGTTCTAGCGCCTCTTATAGACATTAACTCACCAGCTCCAACACAAAACATTGTGAAGCAGTTCATCTGCGTAAATTGGCACTGGAAATTGTCTGAGACTGGAGGATCACAAGTGTTGTATGAAAATGGAAGAATGTACATGATGTTTGCGCAGAATCTTGCATATTTCACCGGAAAAGAAGTTTTTATCGGTGGCGACTTTAATTTACCACTGTCAAAAATAAAGGAACTGATCGATGAACACAACAGTTTGATCCAGCAAGGCATCGACAGCATAAAACCACAATTTCAGAAGTTTGGTTACATGTATTGTATGACCGAAGAAATCTTTAGACCCGAGCGAAGACTTCGGCAACTAAAACTACACAAGAGCGACAATTCTAATTCAACAGAAACAAATTACTTCGTTGCCTCCAAGGAAATGCAGCTACATAAGACGAGACATGAAAAGATGGAAAGTCTTTCATATCGTTACACCAGGCTACAGTTACAGACTGGAGTGGTGACTGGTAACTGTCCAGAACCGACTTACACCAAGACTGAAATGTACATCCCACCAAGGCCCCCCAAACACCACGGGGGATAGAAGAAAGACTGATCTTTCAAACATGATCTATAAATATTTTAGACTTAAAATTCATATTGTAGAAGCAAGTGTACATATGTTGTGGAATCTAAAAAAATGTATCACATTTTACTGGTGATTATAGTCTGTAGCATTGTTTTTTTTTTTAAATAAATAAAGGTTAGATTAATAGATTTAGAGTTTTAACATAGTGATAATACATGTTGACTCAAAATTTATATTCTGTACATCGATTTTTCAACAAAGAAAATAATGCCAAAAGACAGATGAAATAAAAATAGAAACCTAATATGTTGCATGCATTGCAGTGTTATTCAGAAAGGATTATCATTATTATTATTAGAAAGCTATCAGGTATGATGCAAAAATAGAATATTTGATTCAGGAGAAAGAGCAAGGCGAAAGGCAACCATTTTGTGAAGCTGACAGTAGAAACGTTTTTAATGAATGGAGATCCTATTAGCGTTAATTTATTGGAAGTTTTTTTTGACATTGATACACAAATAAAATCAGAAAAAGTTCAATCCAAACACGTGGTATTGACAGAACTTGTTGTAGCTGTGTTTAATTTTATACTAAATTGGTATTACACAGATATTTCACACAAATATTTAAGATAAATGGTCCGAACTTTTTGGACTTTCTTCCAACATAACAAGAAAAAAGGCATAATCTAAATAACACATTTATGGGAACAGGTTCAGATCCTTTTCTTGTCTGTCCCATTTTCCCCGTTCCTGAGATATGGAGTAAATACTCATCAGCTGCACATTTTCACAATTACAATGATTGTCAGGTCTGACGTTTCTTTTGAAAAGAAAATGGTGTTAAAAATATATTTTGCGATGACCCCCCACATTTTTGATATTAAGTCAAACTGATAAATGTTGGCTGATGGAGAGTATGAACTAGAAGATAACAAGCAGTAATTCAAGGTCTAAAAACAATACAGTCTCAAAATAGGAAAACACTCTTAGAAACTCTAATTTTATATTACATAATTTGACCACCACTGGTCTTGCACGTTAAAGTCAAATAAACTTACACAGCAGGGCGACGAAAATTTAAGGAGGGGGGAATGAAATGGTTCGGGCCGTGGATATAGGCCTGGATAGATCAGTAGGTAGATCACCTGGCTAGTAATACAGGGGTTCTATTCCCGGTCCAGCCATACATTTATTCCTCTCAGGTTAAAAAACCCTACCCTAACTGGAAGGTGGAATCACGTGGTTTGAAAGAGTAAGCATCCTCTGTCTATAGTCACTACCGCTGTGAGGTCCTTGATAAGGTAAACGAAGTATTTAGTATGAATCAGCATGAACATAATGGTATAACAATTTGTATTGAAACCTTTGGTCAACTGTCAACCCAATGGCAATGTGGATACCTATAGGATTTCCAACAGATCCAACAAAGCTTTTTTTAAAAAAAAAAAAAAAAAAAAAAAAAAAAAAAAAAAAAAAAAAAAAAACCTAATAGATTATTCTGTCTAGATGATTTGTATAATAAGTATTATTCTATTCTTGTCACCATGGCAAACCACCGTTTAATGAAATCGAAAACTATTAGATAGAATCATATCTCTAGATGCAGTCTCCCTACAGGAGGATAAGCGTTTTGAAAAAAAAAAAATAATCAAACAATCCGACACTGAGACGGACAATGGACATCATATGAAAGCAGAGACTCTCCTTGGCTTTGACATATTAATTTATAAAAGGAGGAAAACGGGAATTTTCTAAATGTGCACACTCTACTTTCTAGTCATGGTTAAAGATTATATTGAATACATGAATATTTACCGTTACTGATGGAAACCATCTATATTTGAAAAGTATTTTGTGAAATTTTTGAATTATGTTGATTTCTATTTTTTAAGATCCCTGACGAGGCTTTATTTTAGCTCCAGAGACCTTGGACTGAACAGTGTTAAAACTAAACTAAATGATAAGCATTGTTGTTCGTCAGAGGAAAAAAAGTTTTATATCTTACCTGTATTATTAATCAACTCTTTAGAGGGTGTAGGTCTTTCAGGGAATGCCAGATCCGTGCATAAATACATTTTACACTGTTTCCAAATGACTCAAGATCGAAAAAGTGTGATAAACGGACGTGGCGAGGTAAATAATGAAGAAAATAATTTGAAAAATCCCTGGGATTTGTATATCATAAATTAATGCTTATTCATTTATGCGATATAATTAAAAAATAAAAAAAATTGGAACGAACAATACACTACAAAATCGGTTGAAGTTGTAGCAGAAACATAGGGTAGTGGGAAATATTAATTTTGCGAAAGTTTAACTTTGACATTTAAAATGTCATTCTAATCTTTGAGGTAGTTGAAAGTATAGCTACTTTCAGGTGCTTGAAATCAATATAACTTTAAGCATATTACATTTTGTACAACCGCTTTTAAATTATTGTCTAGTTTCAGAAAAGAAATGTTTTGAAAAAAAATAAATGGATTAAAGGTAAATAAATTGGGATACTATTACGAGTTACGATTATCTGAATTTGATATTCGGGGATTAATACTCACAGAAAAGTACTGTTTAAACGTTTACAAGCACAATGTTAAATACGGATTAGTCCAAGGTACAGTTTCGTTTTGGTTTCTCCGAAATAGAAAGAAAACTTGACTAAGAATTTCTGAAAATAAATTTTTGTATGTGTTGTATTCCATGTGGTAAAAAACATAATATTTACTAAACAACTGATAATTATTATGATATGTTGACGTTGATAAACACTGTTGGACAATCAAAATATATACGGTCAAGATCAAGTTTTTAGAAAACACATTTCATACGTTACCAAGTTTGACAGTTTGGGTATTGAATTCAAGTTAAATTGCAAGCAGCCAATGAAAATGACTATATTTATAGAAAGGGATTTTCCAAGATTTATTTTTAGAAAAACTATTTTTACATCCAATGTCATTTATGAATATTATAAAAAGCTCTAAAATTTCTATCTTTAACATTTACTGGATATCTTTCTTTCAAAGAAGAGGTAAGTTATTAATGCCACTTTATTTTATTCATCAAAACATTATACAGTTATGAATAGCCAATTTACGAATTTCATATTGTACTTGAGAAATAAAAACCTTTTTTCTTTTAAATTGTTATTTTTGCATATTTTGACATACGCATTTTGTTTTATTAAAGTGTAAAAAAAATACAAAATATGAGATGGAAAATTTTTAAAAGTAAAGCCAGGATTTATAATATTATATTGAAATGATTGTAGAGACATATTTTGAGCGATGGGTTTTGACACAGACTGTTTAAGAATAGTCAGCATGAACGCCACGGGGCGCAAGGGAAGGGAGTACTATGACTTCCGACAGTCCAACTTGCGGCACCTGGTGGAAAATGAGAGGCCTGATATAATGTTTCTTCCGGGAGACAACCCAGGACCAGACACATTCACACATACAAGCTATCAGCAGTTACTGGACCCCACCAACAACGAGACGGTTCTTCTATATGATTCCACGCGTCTGAAGGTTCACCAAAGACCGACCGGGCCACAATTCTCAATCCCAAACTGTGATTTTGACAAAGTTCTAACACCGCTTGTAGACATCTACTCACCAGCTCCAGCACAAAGCATTGTGAAGCAGTTCATCTGCGTCTCTTGGCACTGGGAACTAACTTCCACCGGAGGATCACAAGTTTTATACGAAAACGGAAGATCCTACATGATGTTTGCACAACTGCTCGCCTGGTTCACTGGAAACGAGGTTTTGATTGGTGGAGACTTTAATTTACCTATGACAAAAATTAATGAACTGATTAAAGAGCACAATAATCTGGTTCAGCAAGGCATTGAAAGCTTGAAACCGGTTTTTCGGCAGCTAGGTTACATGGATTGCATGACCGAAACAATCCATCGGCCTGAGCGAAGACTTCGGCAATTAAAGCTCCACAAATGCAAGAGTGCAAATGCAACGGAAACAAATTTCTTTGTGGCGTCCAAAGAGATGCAACTGTTCGAGACCAGACATGTGAAATTGGAGAGTCTCTCATATCGCTGCGCCGGGCTACAGCTACAGACAAGAGTGGAGACTGGTTACCACCCAGAACCAACTTATACCAAGACCCAGATGTATATACCACAAAGGCCCCCAAAACATAACGGGGGATAGTAGAAGACTTAGATTAAAACTCGATTCTGATCTTTTAGAATGATTTCATATTTATTTTGTACAATAACTTGAATCTGTGTGTAATTATTTTTGTCTGCAAGTCTTTTTTACACCTGACAATTTATATAAATATATTTTAAAAATAATTACAATATTGTTCATTTCTTTGGTTTTGAAAACATTCTTGCTATTACATGTATGTAAGTTGTGCTGATAAAGCCAAAGTTTAATAGAATAATGAATGCCTGTGTGAAGAAAATTTTGAACGGTCATATTCATCCAACTCAATCTGTTTCGCAGTAATATTGCCACTCGCATATGCTACGATAATCGCAAACATGTAAGTGAATGAAATATATGGAGATATTCAAGCTCAAAAGTCCATTAAAGAATATAAATCCGAAGCAGAGCAAACACAGACCTCTAAAACATTAGAGGTGGGATCAGGTGCCATGGAGGAGTGAGCATCCCCTGCCGACCGGTCACACCCGCCGTGTGCTCCTTGTCATGATCGGGAAATAACAGAAAAATCCGTCGACAATTCAGTGTGTAAATAATGGCCTAACAATTTGTATGAAAAACGTCAGTCAGCATTTGACTTAATGATAGATTGTATTTGCTGACAAGGTCATTGTATCGACCATAGAACTTACGAAATGATGACTGTAAACGATAGTTTTGTTTCATCAACTTGTTTGTCAATAACTTACCTCGTCTAAGAAATGTTCATACGTAGAGCATGCTCTTGTGTATCGAATCACCTAAGAGATGTAAATCCCGTATGCAGGTGATAAGGGTATATTGCCGCATAAGTGAAGGAAGTGACGATTGAAAAGTTAAAGTAATCATGTTTATCATAAAGCATGTTGTTAAATTACCATTAACGTCTTTTTCTATTAAAATATCCAGATATGAAACAGATGTATCAGACTCTTTGGTATCTTTTATTTCAAGCTCACCGGGATATATCGTGTCGAGATAAGAATGAAAATAACCATTGTTGATTGACAATACGTCGTCGACATATCTAAATGTGGAGTTGAAGGTCACTGCAAGTGTTTTCTTCTTCTCACGAATAAGATTTTTAACAAATTCTGCTTCATATGAATACAATAATAGGTCTGCTAATAACGGGGCAAAATTGGTATCCATGGGAATTCCAATAGATTGTTGGAAGACCTGGTCTCCAAAAACCATATAGATATTGTCAATCAGAAACTCAAGCATCTTTTTAATATCAACTTCAGAGTACTTCTGTGTACAATCAGATTGTTTTTTAACAAAGTAATTTTGCAAATGACCAATGACAAGGTTAAGTAATTTTCGAGTTTCATTTTTATTAAAAAAGCAACTGTCAATGATGTCAAAAAGCCTGGACTTTAATTTATCGTGGGGAATGGTTGTATATAAAGTTGAAAAGTCGTAAATTTTTATGTCGTTGATTTTGGTAAAATTTTGTGATTTCAAATTGTCTAAAAGTTCCTTGGAATTTTCAAGTATCCATATCTGATTTACACCACTTCTCGAATATATTGTTGCAGAGTACTCTTGAAGTCTTTCATTCACTACTGTTAATATTTTAGTGAGAAGTAAAGACAGAGGATTGGAAGAACATTTACTGGAACTATACACTTTGTTTGTAAGGGTTTTTATGAAGTTTCGGAATCCAATATAGATATGGTAATTTAAATTCATTTTGATTGTTGGGATATTAAAAATATTCAAAACTGACATATGATTTTGAAGAATTTTCTCCTTAGAAAGGGAGCTATGGATATAAGTTGGATTACCACTTGTAGAATTAAATCCCAGTTCCTCTAAAATACAATTTAGATCCCGAGTCTTAAATGATAAGATAAAGAACAGTAATCAATCTCAGAAGCCTATCCATATATACACAATGTCAGCAGAGCTAACACAAGCTCCAGAAAACACAGGTGGGATCAGGTGCCATGGAGATGTGAGCATCACTAGTAGGCAGATCACACCCAACCTTTACTCTTTGTCACGATCGAACTAACAGAAATGCTGCATTATTTCAGTATGAAAATTTTAACCTTACAATTCGTATGAAAGACGTCAGTCGGCAATCGATATAAAGATAGATTATAGTTGCAAGCTAGGTCACTGTATCCATAATAGAATTTGCGAAATGTTTACTTTAACCAAGATTTTTTAAATCCTCGTATCATAAACTTTTTTGTCAATAGTCTGCCTTTCTTAAAGAAATTGATCGTACCTAGAACATGCTCTGGCATATAGAATCAACTGAGAGACATAAACCCCCTATGCAGGGTATATTGCTACTTAAATATGGGAAGATGACGATAGAAAAATCGAAGTTACCATTTTTATAATGAATCTAATCGTCAGTTTGGCATCAATGTCTTCTTCTAGTAAACCATCCAAATATGAAACAAAATATGTTGGACTCTGTCGTGTCTTTTATTTCAGATTCAGATGGGTGTATCGAATCAACGTTAAAGAAATGAAAATAAAAGCTGTTCATTGATAAAATGTCATCGATACATCTAATTGTCGGATTGAAGACCACGGCCAGAGACGTTTTCTTTGGTTTCTGAATAAATTTTGCTTCAGAATAAAAAAACGGGGCCTGTTTTAGAATAGAATTTACGACTAAGATCAATATTTAATGCTTCTTATTACTTTTTCTTTTACATTTATTTGAAAATGATTTTAATCTTTTTATACAGAATTCAGAAAGATATTTTTATGCTAGCAATTTCAAACAGAATTATTAACATTGCAAAATTTTACAATCAACTTAACATTTTGGTAGTAGTAGTAAGTTGTTTAGTAAAACGGACCCCTGGTCTGCTAATAATAGTGGACAACTCGTTCACATGGGAATTCCAATGAAAAAGGTGAAGATAACGAACAGTGATCAAACTCCGAAAATCCATAAACAAAAATATGTAAAGAGGTAAAAAAAACACGGACCCCTGGAAATTCCAGAGGTGGGATCAGGTGCCTAGGAGGAGTAAGCATCCCCTGTTGACCGGTACACCCGCCGTGAGCCGTATGCACAGATCAGGTAAATGGAACATTCCGTAGTCAAATTTAGTATAAAAACAAGGGTCTAACGGTTGGTTTGAAACACGTCAGCCAAAAAACAACCCAAATACGAGCTAACAAAACCATTATAACGACAATAAAATTTATGAGATGCTGATTTTAAACGAATTTTCTGTAACATCAACTTGTCTGTCAGTAGCCTGCCTTGGTTTATAATTGAACTCGGAGCATGCTCTTGAGTATCGAATAAGTTGGGAGATGTAAACGCCATATGCAGGTGATAGTGGAATATTACTACATAAATAAATAAACTTGACAATGGAAAAGCTGAAGTCATCTCGTATGTCATAAAATTTAGTTGTTAGTTGGCCTTTATCAAAAGCAAAAGTAATACACAGAGACGTAAACGTAGTCATTGATATCGGTCTTACAATAAACCTATTATACACGATGTTTCTTTTGATTCATTACTACCTTATGTAAATAAACAGTTAGGTCTTCATCACATTCACTCCAAAATAGTCTATTTGAAATGGCCAAGGAATGCACATTATTTGGATTCTTCGACACCAGAATACAGGCTTGGATCTGTGATTATGGATATTGCAAATCATACGCTTTTTAAACCGCCACGATTATGGGAGATAATATTGCTCAAGCAACCTGTTTGTTCCTTTAACTTCAATTTGCAAACAGAGGAATAGACGCATATAATAATTCATATTAGTAATATTCTTAATCACAAAATGATCAAATCTTATATTCCACCATAATTCAACTTGAAGTACAAACCTTGTATTTCTTACAAATATACATCGGCTATTGCTTCAAAAACGTACAAAAAACTCAACAGTGCCTAGTTATCAAACAAATTAAAATAATCCTCCTACGTGTTCATGTTCTTCTTCACCCTTAAACTATAGTCCTACTGGACACGTCATTTCTGGAGATGTAAATATAGCTAAAAATGAGGACCTTAAATCTCTTATTTTAAATGGGCCAAATTTAGGGATCCCCATTCTTTCAATGAATTATATTGAGATAACGAACAGTATTCAAGTTCAAAAGTCCATTAAACAATACAAAATAGGTGCAGAGCAAACACGGACCTCCAAAACATTAGAGGTGGAGAGGACTTATATAGGCAGTGCCTGCTGTCCAATCCAGTTATGTTTAATCATAATGAAATATTGTTTAAATTAAAAAATTAAAACATTAGAGGTGGGATCAGTTGCCATGGAGGAGTGAGCATCCCCTGCCGACCGGTCACACCCGCCGTGTGCTCCTTGTCATGATCGGGAAATAACGGGAAAATCCGTCGACAATTCAACTGGCGTCATAGTTTTATAAATATTATAAATTCTGTGGAAGATTACGCAAGGCCAAACTTGAAAAAGAAGACCTTGGCAGTTTGTCAGAATGGATTAAAAGCATCAGATGGATGTTCGCATTAAGCGATTTAGGGGTAGTAAGAAAACCCTTTATCCTTCTGTCTTTAATAATTCAGAAGTGAAAAGAATTAGATAGATAGCACAATCAGCAAGTACTGGTCCCGGCTGACAAAGAAGGTAACATCATAGTCTTTGTTTGAAAGGCTCACTGCATTTTAGTGGAACTGGGAGTTAATTTTGCAATTGGAAATTTAACGTACATTCATAGGCTCCCTTCTAAAGGGGGGGGGGGTAATTCTTCAAAATCATGTGTACATTTTATATATTTTTAATATTCCCAATAATCAAACTGATTTGAAATACCATACCTATACTTGATTCTTAAACTATATAAAAATATCCTTACAAACAATGATATAAATAGCGGGATCCAGTGAGTGTTCTACCAAGCCCCTTTCTTTACTCCTCACTGATAAACTAACAGTAGAAAAGGAGAAACTTCAAGAGCACTGTACAGCAATATATTTGAAAAGTGGAGAAAATCAGATGTGGATACTTAAAAACTCGAAGAAACTTTTGGAAAATTTGAAATCACAAAACTTTACCAAAATCAATAACGTCAAAACGTAAGACTTTCAACACTTTATCAATAAATTCCTCACGATAAATCAAAATCCAGGCTTTTTGGCATTATAGACAGCTGCTTTTTCCAAAAAAAAAAAAAA